AGGAAAAGTAACCTTTGGGGATAATAAACAAGGAGAAATAAAGGGATACGGGGATCTTCTACAAGGTAAGGTTTCTTTCTCCAAGGTTGCTTATGTCTTTGGGCTTAAACATAATCTTTTGAGCATAAGACAACTATGTGATTCTGGCTACAATGTCAAGTTCCAAAAGGAAGCTTGCTCCATTATGTAAGAATCAGGTCAGGAGTTTCTAAGAGCTAAGAGAAAAGGAAATCTGTATCTTATGAACTTCTCACCAATAGACAACTCAAAGACTCTCTGTCTCGTGTCTCGCAAGAGTGAAGAAGCTTGGCTCTGGCACCACAAGCTGTCGCATCCCAATTTTTAAAATTTAGGAAGCTTGTGAAGCATAATTTGGTTGACGGACTTCCTACCATCAGGTTCGAAAAGGACCATCTCTGCTCTGCTTGTGAAATGGGAAAGCTCAAAAGAGCATCCCATAAAACTAAGACAGATGTGTCCTGCATCAGACCTCTTCACATGCTTCATGTGGATCTTTGTGGTCCAATCTCTGTGCATAGCTTGTCTGGTAAGAAGTATATCTTAGTCTTAATTGATGAATACTCACGATATACTTGGATTGAGTTTGTAAGGCAGAAATAAGATGTACCAGAGCTGCAAATCAAACTAATCACCAAGATTCAAGTACTTCTACAATGCAAAATTCAAAAGCTAAGAAGTGATAATGGAACAGAGTTCAAGAACGCCAAGATCGATGTGTACTTGGACACAGAAGGAATAACTCAGAACTTCTCTGCAACAAGAAGACCACAACAAAATGGTGTCGTAGAAAGAAAGAACAGAACATTGGTCGAAGCTGCACGAACCACGCTAGCTAACTCTGGTGTTCCAACCCATTTTTGGGCAGAAGCAATCTCTACTGCCTGCTTTATTCAAAATAAAGCAATGGTGGTTAAGAGACACATGAAGACGCCTTACGAACTAATAAACCAATGAAAGCCTAACGCCAAGTTTTTACATGTCTTTGGTTGCAGATGCTTCATCCTAAATGATCGAGATCAACTTGGCAAGTACGATAAGAAGGTCGATGAAGGCACGTTCCTTGGTTATTCAAAAAAAGCCAAGGCATACAGAGTCTTCAATCAACAAACCAAGACGGTCATGGACAGCATCAACGTCTTGTTCGAAGATAAAGAACAAATGACTTCAGTCTACCTCAGCTCTGGACTCGATCTTAACCAAAAGACTTCCAATTCTCAAAAGAAGTCAAGGGAATTGGAACTCAGGCTTCTATTTGAAGACTTCTTTGGTGACGAAGACATCTCTGTACATTTACTAAGAGATAAATCTGCGAGTGTAAGTGAAGGAACACAAACGACAAGCAGAGCAAACTAGCTCTGCATCAGAGCCTAGTCACGAAGAACCAGAGCATCATAGCTCTGGCTCTGCACTTGGTTCCTATGTACCAACATCCGAGGGGGAGCAAGCAGAGCCTTCTTCACCATCAACGAGCTTACTGCAAAACATGGCTACGGAACGTGATCAAACATCCCCCACTTCTCTATCTGTCTCAAGAACAAAATGGATAAAGAATCATCCTCTTCACCAGATCATTGGTGAACTTTGAAGTGGCATAAGGACACGGGCTGCCACAGCTAATGAATGTTTATTCGTAAACTTCCTTATAATGATAGAGCCAAAAAAAGTACATGAAGCCCTAAAAGACCCTAGTTGGGTCGATGCCATGCAAGAAGAGCTCCAACAACTTGAGAGAAATAAGGTATGGACTCTGGTTCCTTTACCAAAGGAGAAAGTTGTGATTGGTTGTAAATGGGTTTTCAGAAACAAGAAGGATGAGGATGGGATCGTAGTAAGAAATAAAGCAAGGCTAGTAGCAAAAGGCTATTGCTAGGAAGAAGGCATAGACTATGACGAGACCTTTGCGCCAGTAGCAAGGGTAGAAGCTATACGCTTGTTTTTAGCCTTCTCTGCACATAAGGGATTTCGAGTCTATCAAATGGATGTAAAGTCAGCCTTCTTGAATGGTAAGATGAAGGAGGAAGTCAATGTTCAACAACCTCCGGGGTTTGAAAGCTCCACACATCCAGAGTATGTCTATTTCTTAGACAAAGCTGTGTATGGACTTAAGCAAGCACCTTGAGCCTGGTATGAACGTCTCTCATCTTTCCTCTTATCTAATGGTTTTGAAAATGGTAAAATTGATACAGCTTTGTCTATTAAAAGGTATAAAAGTATGATGCTCTTAGTACAGATATATGTGGACGACATCATCTTTGGTTCAACGAACYAGAGACATTGTGATAAGTTCTCTGCGTTAATGAAGAGTGAGTTTGAAATGAGCATGATGGAAGAATTGACCTTCTTCCTAGGCTTGCAAGTAAAACAGAGGGACGATGGAATCTTCATTAGCCAAGCTAAGTATGTCTCCGACAAATTAAAGAAGTACCAACTCCATAACTCTTCCACCATGAGAACACCAATCGTTACGGGTACTAAGCTTGACACAGATCCATCTGGTAAACCGGTGGATGTTAAGACTTACCGTGGAATGATTTGATCACTACTATACGTCACGGCTAGCAGACCAGACATCATGTTTTCCACATGTCTTTGTGCCCGTTATCAAGCAAATCCAAAGGAATCTCATCTTTCGGCTGTAAAAAGAATCTTTAGATACCTTAAAGGGACTCAATTTTTGGGTATTTGGTATCCAAAGCATTCTGGTTTCGATGTTATTACGTACGCAGATTCTGGTCATGCAGGTTATACACTCGATCGAAAGAGTACATCAGGGAGCTGCCAATTACTTGGGGATAAGCTCATAAGTTGGACCTCAAAGAAGCAGAACTGCATCTCTACTTCCACCGATGAAGCAGAGTATGTAGCTACAGCCAGCTGCTGTTCCCAAGTGATATGGATGAAGACTCAACTGAAAGACTATGGCATAGAGGTTTGAGAAGATTCCAATTCTTTGTGACTCACAAAGTGCTATCGAAATCACAGCGAATCCTGTGCAACACTAAAAAACAAAGCACATCGATGTTTGATACCATTTCATCAAGGACCATGTAGAGAAAGGTACGATTGAAATGTTCTTTGTAAATACAGATTTACAACTTGCTGACATCTTTACAAAAGCTCTTGATGAAAAGAGATTTAATTTTCTAGTTATCAAGTTGGGTATGCTAAATCTCTCAAACTAATGTAGAGCCTCTGCATTCCTTTATACATATCTCTGCTTTTATCTGTATTGATCCATGAGACAGAGCTTCTGCATAGTTCATGAAGAGCCTCTTACTCAAATTCTAGCTCTTTTGTGATACAGAGCCTCTATACCTCGATCATTATGCATGTGCTCTACTTATCACAAATGATCAAAGCATAGTTCAACGGGGAGTAGATAAGAAAAGCTCAACTCAAAGGGGATCACAACATCATATCAAACAGAGCCTCTGTATGTACTATACAGAGCCTCTACGTTAAAACTCTAATGATTATAGAATTGAGCCTCTATTTGTACTATACAGAGCCTCTGCCTCTAAACATAGCAAAGTTTTCTCTAGAGAACATGTATAGTCCAATCACGAATCACTGTATGAAATCCCAAGGTATGTGTTGTTCTGCATATAGTTCTTCGGTTCTCATCAAAACTTCTACTTCTCTTGAACGAGAGCATTTACACTTGGAAATTTTTCTTGTTGTTTTTGAAAATTAAAATATATTATTTTATTAAGAAGGCGTAAGGTTTATTTTAATTGTTTAATAAAAGCTGTTACCCACAATGAGCGTCACCGCCTATGAGCTTATCTTTTCAAACGTGGGAGGCGCCACTTGCAGCTGGCAATCCACGTGGCACGCCCCTACAGGCTTTGAGAAAACCGGTTCAGTTTTACTGGATGTTTGGGGCAGAACTCTCGTCGTATTTAACCTTCAACCGCCATTGCTACAACCTCACGCTCTCTAACCAGTGCTTAAAGATCAATTCAATCTTCAACCGATCATCCTGTTTAACAAGTAAGTACCACAAATCCGTTCCCTCATCCCATTTCTTGATTCAAGAACTATTTCTTGAAACCCTAAAAATCTGTTATCTCCTTCCAAACACAAAACCTGCAACAATGTCCTCCTCAGAATTTGGAAACTCCCAAACTCATACCACATCGCAAAAAACGATGGAAGATACCAGTCAAAACCTCGTTCCTCTTCCGATCAAACCAAATAACCATGCCCTAAACCTCCAACTTGAAAACTTCGATACCAAATACCATCCCATCATCAATATCCTCCAAAACCACTTCTTGAACCCAGCCTTGACCAACACGGATGACCTAGTTCCCGAACGATACATCCAATAATACTGGCAGTCCTGCTCCGTTACTGAATCTCAAAGGGAAATCATAGGAGATATCTTTGTGTCTACCACACATGAGTTTGTCACAATTCGTATATCAAGATCTATGTTTTCGCGGGTTCTTCAAATCCCAACGAAAACTAACCTAGGGCTTTCTGAATACGCCCCTCTCCCATCCGAGGACGAAATCCCAGCTTTATTGAAGTTCTTAGGGTACAACAAGGCCATTCAATACCCGTCCCAGTATCACCGACAATACCTACCACCAATGTGGAATACACTTTTCACATTGGTCAACCGCTCTCTGTCAGGGAAGATAGGGAGTCTCGACATGTGCTCCACGAGCGTACTTCAAACTGTCTACGGTATTTTCTTTGACCTATCTCTCGACTACTCGTTGATACTCTACACAGAGTTCAAGGCAGCCGTGGCCAAGAAGTGTCAAGAAGTGGCCAAAGGAAGACAGCTACCGTCTCTGTTATTTCCCTGATTCTTGGGTCTTCTCCTAAGACCAGCGCTCGACAACAACAACATTGATGTGGGTCGTCTACCTACACACAAGGTAAACGTGCTCACTCAATACACACCAACAGTGAACAAGGAGGGTTATGAAGCAAAGAGGCCTATTCCAAAGAGGCTCAAGAGCTACATGAAGTCCAAAGAGATTAGGAGAGCGTACAAACGTACAAGTGAGATACCAGGACCAGTGTCTCGAACCCCGTTACGCATAGGAACAGCCGAAGAAGAAAAGAGAACTGAGGACACATCAATGCCTCAGGCAGAGGGAGAAACGATGAGAGCAGGAGTAGAAAGAATCATAGCTGAGGAAGAAAGGGAGAGAGTACAACAAGAAAGAGAAAAAGAAACAAAACGAGAGGGAGCAAAGAAAAAGAAAGTTGAGAGGGAGAAAAAGAAAAAGGAGGGGGCAGAACGAGCAGAGCAAGAAAGATTAACTAAGATTGCTTGTGCTAGAGCAGAGGAGGAATGGGCAGAAAAGGATCTCCAAGTAAAAATCGCTCGCCTAAGAGAAGAGGCCAAACAAAGAGTAGAAGAAAAGGCTCGTCAAACCTTGGTTCACTCCTCTAGTCCAAACCCAGGGGATGACCAAGATCACTACGACGATGCTGCACGGTCTTCACAAGCGAGGGAAGTGAGGATGAGGAGGAAGAGAGTGAAGAAGAAGAGAGTGAGACAGAAAGTGAGGGAGAAAAAGAGGAGAGCGAGGAAGAAGAAGAAGAGGGAAGAGGTGAAGCAGTTGCTCTGCCTCAGGGCGGGACATAGCAGCCTAGGCTAAATAAGCACATTAGATTTACCTACCCAACTCCCAGTGCAACCACATAATCTGACTCCGGTGGTCGAGACACAGATATCATTGAAACAGAGGTGCACACCTCGAACCCTCAACAGCCTATCCAACCAAAGGTCGCATCTGCCTCTAGTTATATTAGCCAAAGGGAAGCCTCACCACAGGGAACACCCTCCCAAAAGGGTGTAACCTTTGAAAACATAAGTGATATGTCTTCCCATATCACGCCACTTTCCCATACAAAGGAATTTGTTTCTTCTGCACGAGTAGACCCCCAACCATGTTCAGAGCAAGGAATAGGTGCACTAGACTTTGAGACACTCAACGAGTCTTTTAGTCCACTCATGGAGAGCCCTCTGGCTTGCTCTGAACCAACCTTGGGTACTCTCCCTGACAAAACAGAAGTAGTGAATTCTCCTCAAGGAGAACCACGAGGACCTCTGGAAGTCCTTCCCCGACTAACGTCAATCAAGTCGTGAATGAAGGCGTCCCTAGAACGGGGACTCAATCTGGCCCATGTGTTGAGCCAAAGGTTACACCATCTGCATATGTCACTAGGGAAGATTTCCATTTTTTTTTTCACCTCTATGCGATGCTCCTTGGAAGAGATAAAACTCAGCATGGCCCGTGTAGAGCCGTCACCTTGTACACCTACTCTGGATGAGATACGAGCATCCTTGGCAGTACTAAGAGTAGAGTCCACGACAAATGCTTCTTGTATCAACACTCTAATGGAATTGGCGGCAACCAATACAACAACATTACAATAGGTCGTTGCTTCTCTACATAGGGTTGAGGCGTCTATGTCTATCAACAACCAGGCCCTCATACCTCTGAATGTACCTGTGGACTATGTCACACAGAGCGCCATGAATGCTCTGGGTGACAGACTCCTACAGAAGGTGGCAGACTTCACTGTGGATTTTAATAGCAAGGCCACAATAGCAGTGAAGAACATCAACGACACTCTGGCACGATTCAACTACCGTTCAGACGACGAAGTGAGAAGCCATTACAGTCGACGAACTCCTCAAGACCATCGAGGAGGTGATCAAATCCATGTCTCGAGCAGAGGATGAGAGACCTAAGTGACAGAGAGATCCATCTCCATGCGTAGAACCATCAAAGAGGAGGCGACTTGACGATGATGAGGACCCAGACGAGTCTCATCCTCAAAATCGCCAAGAGGGGGCGAACTTGCCTACAACCACACTAAGTACAATACCTCTAGATGCCCCCTCTGCACCATCGTCCTCTGCCCCATGCCAACAAGGTCAATCAAGGCAGAGTAGACAAAGCCAGCAAGTGGCAGACAATGCAGAGGCACTACACAAAGGGAAAATGCCCATGGCATCAGAGGCAGAGCCAGCCGGGCTACAAAAGACTACAGAAGTGATCGACCTTCTATCTGCCTATAGATCAGATGACTCAGACTTGGATCTGTCATCTTCAACAGAGTACGCTATGGACATGGCTGCTCCCTCAACAACAACTCAACAAGAAGAAGAGGTGGTCGCCATGAATGTGGATGATCCGTCACTACTACACATTCCGATTGCCATTCCTTTAGAAGAAGTAATCATTGCTGCTCCTCCACCACATCCAAGAACCCACAGCGCTAGGGTCCCTGCATAAGGGACCAGGATTATCACTCCTGCGATGAAGCAGGTACCGGTCAATCCAAACAGAGCAGGCTCAAAAGTCACAACAAGCAGACAAAAACGGAAGCATCCTTCTGATCGTGTCCACTGGATCAAAGCAAGTATGAATGCCATGTTCAACCCAACACCCCTCGACAAACCCATCAAGGACAAGGCAGAAGGCGAGGAGATCTACCAGTTCCTCTACAACCAAAGGGAAGAGACACCGGTCCAGAAGATCAGTCTCCATCCTATTGCTCAAGAGCACATTAGGCAGAGAGTCCTCGATCGCTATACTAAACCAATCACTGCAGTCCACTTTGCTGATGGAATAAACAAGTCCTGGACATAAAGAAGTGCACCTTTGCACATAATCAGATAGTGTTCTACGAGTAGACAGTGGAGAAGAGTCACGGACAGATATGTAGATTCACAAATTGTGACCTTATTAATCTAAATCTGTGGGATCTTCTTCATCTGTTCTACTTTACAAACCACAAGAAGGACAAGGGAGTGAAGTTTGCCATTGCCAAATCTACCATTTGCAAATAAATGACAGATCTGCTTGACTACAGAAGCAAGTTCGACTTCCAACTAGCTCTGGATCTAGGAGCGGATCAAATGACAGTGGCTGCCCCAAATGAAGAATTACACGGCATCAACAACATTCCCTCCTGGACGGTTCTGGTGGAACCAGAAGTGGGAGTGGTGTTTCGAAACGAGCATAATTAGAAGATCTTCTTTCGAGACAACCAAAATTACAAGTACTCCAACTCTACTATGCGCTATATAAGAGGCAATCTGGTCAGGAGCAGAGCCAACTCCCCTGGAGCCAAGGAGCGAGCCAAAATAATTCTAAGGTCGATTCAAAATATGCTTGAGTTTCGTGAACTTCTTAGGAAGTTCATTAAACTTTAAAATGTTTAAGACCTCTTATCTTTTGTATGTACCTTCTTATTTTTGATTCAATGTAATTTCAATTTTAATCGTATTGTACTTCATTAGATAGTCAATCTAAACCAGAGGTTGTTTTTAACCTCTGTCTTCAATTAGATCTGTTACATAAATCAAGTAAGAATCATTCTTATTTACACTCAGGGGGAGATTGTTAGACCCCAAACTTGCAAAAATGTAAATAAGAAGTACCTTGCTCTAGTCAATAGGACTTAGTCTATTGAAGTTGTCTGGCTAAGAGCTCTCATACAGAGGATCAAGGATTAGAGCTCTTAATCAGAGTGAAGGTTCCGGTATACAGAACCCGCGCTCTATCTCCGTGATCATTCAAGTCTTGTTCGACAAAAAGCATAAGCGCTTGACTCAAAACAACAACTCAAAGACCCAGAGCGTCTGCATAGTACATGCAGAGCTTCTGTATATTCATGCAGAGCATCTGGCTACCTTCTTCATGGAAAGCGCGTGTTAGCCCAGACATTCTCACAAGCGTCTAACAGCTTAAAGGCGGCTTGACCGAGTCTGCTCCACTAATCAAGGAAACTCAAAGATAAGGATGCAGACTTGTCAGCTTAGAGTTCCACGCCTAATTTATAACGTAGTTTGTTAGACCTAGGTGTATAAAAGGAGGCCTCCACCTCAGGTTCAAAATACCTGAAGGATCCGAGTTATACTATACACAAATTCTTGTGAGATTACTTTTGTTCTTCAACTATTCATCATTTTCAATAAAAGCATTCGGTTATTCAAAGTTTATTTACTGCTTTACACTTTTCTTTGAATATCCTGTTTAATCAATAGAAATACATTGTTGTTCTTGATTCTTATTTTAAGCAAACAATATTTCTACGGATTAAGAGTATATGGGTTCCAACAGATCTTACCCCCATTCGACACTCCCTTGCAACCCTCGACACCCAAACAAAAGACAACACAACCTGCCTCCAAATGTTACAATAGATCGTCACCCAACACCATAACACCTCATCCACCTTTGCGACCCAAAGAAACCAACTTATGATGAACTTCATCGCCACCCTCACGGCCAGGTAACTGTGACCGATGAGACACTAGCCTCCATAACCGCCCAAATACACACCATCTCCCAAACCCTTAACACCCTTCCCGCCACCATAATCTCCCAAATCCCTCAACCTACCCCACCCCCAACTTCTTCAATCAATGAAACCTTAGCCTCCCTCTCATCCCAAATGGCAACCATCCAAAACACCCTAACCTCCCTCCCAGCTACCGTAATAGCCCACATACCCCAACCACCTCCTCCTCTACCCCCTCTGTAGTCCCATCTTTTGATGAAGCCTTCTCTTCCTTCACTGCAGAGGTGAGGAACATCATCGCCAACCTTCCCATTCCTCCATCCACATCCGCTTCCACCTTCGTGCCCCCACCTGCCTCATCATCAACAATGGAGTTCGCCACCAGAGCCAATCTAAGGACCCTGTCGAAGGTACTTATCTCATCCTTCAATGAGATAAGTGATTAATTCTTCCATCGTGCTACACAACCTACCAAGGCTCTCTTCTAGAGCCTTGCCGATCTACAGGCACGCACCAACTCTCTCCTTTACTCGATGGAGGAGAGTCGAAGACAACAAGTCCTGAAGGCGTATCTTGCGTCCTTCAGGAAGGAGAAAAAGAAGAAGAGGAGCAGAGCATCATGCTCCAGCAGCCGCCTGCAGAAAAGGCCAAGACATGAGGATCCAGACCCCGATGATCAAGGTCTTGGACCTCATGAGGGGGAGAACCAGGCCGCGACTGCTCACCCGATGGAATCCGCTACACCACCACCCTTACCTCAAACACAAAACCAACCGTCTCCATCAAACCAAGGAACCCAAGCTAGGGAACCAGATGCTCAATACTCTTAAGATGTACATAATGTACATGTTCCCTTCACCACCTCCCAATAACCCATCGAGCTTAGCTCATCAACCAATGAAGAACCAACCACCCCACAAACAGAAACCAACCAACCCTTCACCCCATCACCAACTCCCAACCTTCCCTTAACCCTTTCACCAACACCTCGCACCACAGAACCCTTCACCAAATAACCAAAACCAACTATCATCCAACCTTCCTCACCACAACAACCTGCAACCCAAACACAACCCAATGAACCAGAAACTACCCCATCTGAGACCAATGAACCAGAGCTACCCCAATCTGAGCCAACCCAAAAAATTCCATCACTAACCCACTCTCAACCCTTAACCCAAACACATCCCACAACCCAACCAGTTTATAGTTATCAGCACCACTAAGTTCAACATTCAACAAGAGAGTTCCACTAGTATCACTGGGATGAAGGTACAATGGGTCTCCAAAGTCTAGACTGGTGACTGTGGATTCCATTGACCTACCAGTGTCTACCTTAGAACCAGACATAAGCATACAAAAGGAGACTGAATAGATAAAAGAAGGATTCCTAAAACACTTAAAGTGCTAGGTCAAGTTAACTATCCAGCTTCAAACAAGAAAAAAAACAGAGAAACAAACACCACAAGAATCACGACAACCAGACAAACAAAGAACATATGCTCCTTACCACAATAATCCAGAACGATAAAGCCTAAGAAAAGAAGGGAGAGAAACAACCTGAAAGCACCGCAAACCTTTAACCAAGAGTTAAAGTAGCAAGAATACGAGAAGCACGCAAAGGCCAGGAATAACCTAAACACAAACAAACTAGACCCCAAACCTGGAACCACACAGATCTGGAGACGGGAGTCTAATATCGCTGTTAGAAGAAAGCGAGAAAAAAGACCAAGAATAGTAGTTGGAAATAGACAACACAGACCAAAGAAAACCTGTTGGGCCTAAAAAACCTTACTACGTATGTACTTGGTTATAATGCACCAAAACAATAGAGAAAAGAACGGTACAAAACAGACAGAACTAAATAAGGATGCAACAACACAAGTATAGTAGAATGGTACGAAAAGTACTGATCTAAAAAGAGTCTATTAGATCGAACCTTAGACTACGCATATACTTGAAGAAACAGACGGAACCAGTAAAGACTTTACCAACAAAAACAAGCAGATATTCAAGGGAAGCTTTAAACCTAACAAAATCTGGATAACAGAGTATTTCAGCTACGTTGGTAAACCAAGAGCCGCACATACCTTTAAGACCAAACGATTTGTCGAGCATTTAATCGAGATCAAAACAGATCTTGAACTAAAGAACAGATCTAAACAGAAGACATATCTGTAACACAACTAGATCTAAGCAAACAAGTCTACCAAAAAGGAGATCCAAAAAACCAGATCTAGTCAAATTTTGAACAAAAGGACAGATCTAAAGCAGATCCACAGAACAACCAGATCTAAGCAAACAACTCTAACCTGAATGAGAGCCAAAACAGATCTAGTGAGATTTTAAACAAAAGGACCGATCTAAATTGCAACACAAATCCATGAATCAACCAGATCTGAACAAACAGATCTAAATGTGAAAAAGCAAACTAAACAAATGCTTGAGACAAGCTAGAATCAACGAATGAGTATTTCAGCAACGATTGGTTTAACAAGATCTAATAAGAACTTCAAGACCAAATTATCAGCTGAGCATTTACTTGAAACACATTAAAGAACATAAAACTTCAACAAGAAGGAAGAACACTTACCTGTGAAGAGTTGCATGTCAAAGATGAAAGATGAATCGTAACAGATCTAAGAGAACCACAGAACCACAGAAACAGATGCTTGGATACTATGTTCAAACTTACAAACTAAAAATACATTTCATATCATAAGAATACAAAGAATATTGAAACAACAAAACTCTAAATCTTATACAAAATCTTAGCTAAGAACAAAACAAAATGTATTGATTCTAGAGAGAGAAAGATATGTATTGAGAAAAGGAGAAAAATGAGTTGAATTAATGAAAAACCGGGAACTCTGATATATATTAATAGAAAAATGACAAGATTAGTCCTCCAAGATCCAAAGAATATGCTCCGCTAACCCTTGTGAACTTGTTCAAGTTTTTCTCCCTCGCTAAACTTGTCCATTAA